AAAAAAAAAAAAAAAAAAAAAAAAAAAGAACTCAAGAAACTAGGAATCAAGAAAACAATCCAGTTAAAAACAGGACAAGGGTCTAAACAGAATTCTCAAGAGCAAATTCAAATGGCTAGGAAACACTTAAATGTCCAACATCCTTAGTTGCTGTGATAATGCAAATGGAAACTACTTTGAGATTCACCTTACCCCTGTAAGAAGTGCTAAGATCAACAGAACAGTGACAGCTCGTGCTGGTAAGGCTGTGGAGTAAGGGAGACAATCATCACTGCTGAAAACCTGTACAGCCACTGTGGAAACCGGTGCGGCGGTACCTCAGGAAGACAGGCATCAATCTACCTCGAGACCCAGCTATACCACTCACTCCTGGAAATATACCCAAAGACGCTTCATCCTATCACAAAGACACTCGCCCAACCATATTCATTGCTGCCCTATTCACAACAGCCAGAAACTGGAAACAACCCAGATGTCCCTCAACAGAAGAACGGATAAAGAAAATGTGGTATATTTACACAATGGAGTATTACTCAGCCATTTTTTTAAAAAATTGTATCATGAAATTTTCAAGTAAATGGATGAAACTAAAAAAAAAAAAAAAAAATCACCTTTGAGGTATACCAGACCCAGAAAGGCAATATGGTATGTATTTGCTTCTATGTGGATATTAGCTGTTATGTCAAGCTACAACTCATAGAATCATAGAGGTCAGGTGCAGAGTAAGGGGCTAGAGGGGACAGAAAGACGTCATGAGGAAAGAGAAACAGAATACACAGCCATGGATGACTGGGGAGGTTTGCAGGCATAGAAAGACCAAGTGGGGAGGGGGTGGGGAAGGGAGGGGAGACAGGTAAAATTAGAGCCCATTTGAGGGGTAGTATGGAACCCTTACATAGTAGAAATATCCTAAAATACATATATATATGAAGGCAATCTAAAGGAAATCACTAAATTACGGGGGAGCCAGGGTCTCAGTTGGCCATCTCTTGTCACCAAATGAAGCTGCCGGAACTGGAATTGAATTACATCTAATTGAGTTGTTGGCACCACGGGAATCTCCAAACCATCCAGACTTGTCAAAACCATAGGTTGTTGTCCACAAACTGGCCTCCCTGATGAAGACCACACCTACTCAACTCACTGAACATGGAGAGGTCAAGCTGGTGCCGCATGGAGCTTCCACCTTCCAGCACTGCTGGCACAGGAAGGGATGTGGTGTACACCAAAAGAGAGACATAAACACAGAGCCAGCCTCGAACCCTTCCATCTACAATGGTGTCCTGCCTGCAAGATATACCATAGCAATGGTGGTACATAGCTTGTGGGAGTGACCAACCAACATCTGCTTTGACTTAAGGCCCACTCCACAATATGGAATCAATACCTAACACTGCTAGGGTGACCAAAAACCACAGATAAGATAGCCCAGGAACCTAGGGTAAAACCAAATATTACCTTTCTTTAAAAAAAAAAAAAAAAAAAAAAAAAGCTGGGCGGTGGTGGTGCACGCCTTTAATCCCAGCACTTGGGAGGCAGAGGCAGGTGGATTTCAGAGTTCGAGGCCAGCCTGGTCTACAGAGTGAGTTCCAGGACAGCCAGGGCTTCACAGAGAAACCCTGTCTCGAAAAACAAACAAACAAAAAAAGCAACAAAAGGACTCCTATTGACATTCTGCTATTCTTGCTCAGCCGCCATCTGAAACGCTTCCTCCTGCACCACCAAGGGAATTCCAGCCAGGGGCACATCCCGTCTTAATGAATTAAAATGTCCTCTTCTATGAACTCAATAAAAACATTCTTATACTCTGTTCCCCTGTAGTCACACAATTCCACCTTGTAAAACTATGATTTGGGAAGGAAGCTCTAGTACTCCCTTTACAGAAATGACTTTCTCCCCCTTTGGTGCTTTGTCAGAAGGCTAGAACGCAAAAGCCATGGGTGCCAGCCCTAGACTGCCTCACAACCATCCCTTAACGGCTGGAAGAAACTCTGAGAAGCAGTTTAACAAGTGATAATAGATATTCACGTGCTTCCTTGGAAGACAATTCCAACTTACCTGGGCCATGGCTTAAAACTTCAGGAGTTGACTAGTTCTCTTCTGGGTTCTGCTATCAACAAAGTAGAGCTTGAGAAAGCTAGAGGGAAAGAAACACGAGTGGTTAGGGTTTCTTTGAAGTTTGTCTCAGTTACTGTTCTACTTCTGTGAATGGACACCATGATCAAGAAACTCCAAGGCAACTCTTTTAAGGGAAGTATTTAATTGGGGCCTTACTATAGTTTTAGAGGGTTAGTCCACAATCATCATGGCAGGAAAAAGGCAGGCATGGTGCTGGAGCAGTAGCTGAGAGCTTTACATCCTGATCTAAAGGCTGCAGGCAGAGTCACAGAGACAGACAGACACGGGGCCTGACATGGGCTCCTGAAACCTCAAAGCTTATCTGCAAGTGACACACCTATTCCAACAGTGCCACACCTCTTAATCCTTCCCAAATTGTTCTACTAACTAGGTGTTACAGGAGGTATAAAAAAAATGACTACTGACGGCACCCGGTGGCTCAGGTCCAGTGTACTTCTGCCATCTCTGTCTCTAGTCCGCCCAACCCCCACAGCAACCAGTCACTGTGTTCCCAGCTCTGGTTCGCTTGTCCCTGGGGCCACTACTTCCTTCACAGCCATACCCCTCCCCCCTTGTCGACAGTCCCACCTTCCAGTAACCCAGTAAAACAAAACTCTAAAGCTTATAGTTAACCAGTCAGATTTATATAAAGATAAATTCTCAATACATAAGATGCCCACACAATGTCAAGGCCAACTAATAACGGTACAAGATGCCCACACAGACTAGACTAAGTTATCCCAATTATTCTAACCCTATAAGATATTCATAACTACCTACGGCTACTTAAAGCCATGCTGGTTCTTCAGGATCTTCTCCCTGTCCATCTTCCATCTTGACTCTCTCTCCCTCTCTTCCTGTGTCCCTCTCTCTGCAACTCTCAGCTCCAACTCTCTTTTCCCCGTCCAATCACAGGCCTCCGGCTGCACTAATATTTAAATTGATTGGACATGGAACATCTTGCCACAACCAGGAACCAAACAGTCAAACGTATAAGCGTATAGGAGCCATTCTCATCCAGACCACCACAAAGCTTTCAAATGGAAATACGTGAAGGGATGTTTTCTTCCTTGGAGGAAGAGCGTAGGGACTCTGAGGGAATTCTACTCCCTTGCAGAGCCAGAGTTACTCAACTAAAGATAGATGCTTTGAATTCAATTAGTCATACCCAAACCACCACAAAGACGAGAATTACGAAATCCGATCGCTCCTTCTTTCATTAATGTTCCCTCTAGCCATCTCATTTCTGAATGACCCGATGGTCCCCTCAAGGATGGTGGAACTCTCCCAGCTGAAAGCCCACTCCACCTGCCCACAGCTCTCCTGTGTACAACTACAACCAGTGCCTTCTCTCCTCTTCATGGCCAGCAACAGCCTGATACCCACAGAGTTGTTTTCATTCAGAGCATGCACCATAAGGCACGCCACAGAAGGAGACAAGTTTGAAGCCTAAATGCACCCTGAACAGACTCACCAGATATTTACTGAGATGACTGAGGTGGTGTGTAGCTTTTTTGTAAATGTTTCTTTTTGTGTAGCCCTGGCTGTCCTGGAACTCACTCTGTAGACCAGGCTGGCCTCAAACTCAGAAATCCACCTGCCTCTGCCTCCCAAGTGCTGGGATTAAAGGCATGCTTCTTTTCCACTGCCCGGCTTCTTTTCTTTTTAATTACTTTGTTTGTGGGTTCTTGTTTCATGTGTCTCCTAACAATTTCTTCTCTGGCTCAGCTTAGCTTCTCAAGGCTCAACTGCCTCCTCAGTCTGCTAGCCCGGTTCACTTCCAACTGCCTCATAGTATCTCATGCTTCACAGTCTCCTCTCCAGCCCTAAACAATCTTCTTTCTCCCTGCATCAACTTTCTTCTCTGACCCTACTCTTCTCCTGGACCCTACTCTCCAATCCTACCTATTCTCCTCTCTCTCTCTCTCTCTCTCTCTCTCTCTCTCTCTCTCTCTCTCTCTCTCTCTC